GAATCATTGACCTCAATTTGAGCACAAAGGGGAATAAGATGGCCATCGATTCAGCAACAGTGGATTAAAGCCTGTGTTGACACACTCACAGTGACTCTGTGAGGAGACAGGACCACCAGAACACCAGACTTGCACTGAGGACAAACACACAGAGCTGCAGCACAAACTGACAGCCAGAGTAGACAGTCAAAATGCCAGCTCCGATGGAAAGTAATTGTTTCTGTGGAATCAAAAGTTACAGTTGTTACCATTGCAGTTTTCCCAAAAAACACTAAATTTCCCCTCTTTCTCCAGCTACAAGTAATCCAAATTAAAGTAGGAAAAGATAAACAATATTAACTCATCTTCTCATAATTACATATCTTGGTGTGTACTTAGCTTTTCAGACAAACTCTTCTTCCACTTCTTTAAACAAAATCCCAGTGACAATTTTCTTCAGCCATTTACACAACTTCATTAGGCAAGATAATGTTCTTCACCCTGGTATATTTGGAATCAATTTAGCAAGGCCAAGCCCTTAATTTATTAATGGAAATCATTTTGGTTCCATGCATACGGGTGAAATTGAGGCTTTCCCCACTGATTCTTAAAAGAGTTTGTGCACAATGTTTCTTTAAATCTTTAAGGCTTCAGAGTCAGATACAAACTTTCTTTAGCTCTGCTTTACACATTTTCATAGAAACTCATTCTTGCTATCACTCCTTCTTGCTGTCTCACAAAATCTGTGTTTTTTTACACTCATTAATCAAACTGTGACAGGAGCTTAAAGCAGGCTTAAAGAGAAGCAAAGGTCTGAGCATATGAACTGAGCAGAGTTTGAGCAGAGATGTGACACTGGCCATTGGTCCCATCAGTGTGGTTTAACAGAGAGGTTTAACAGAGGCTGCTCACACTCAGGGGACAGTCTTGTGCTTGCCTGTAACAAACAACCTTTCCAATATGTTCCTTTTTAGCTGATTAAAGTTGTCATAACACAGCGCTCACAGACAAAACCCTTCACACGTTGGGGATTTAGCTGGATTTATAAGAGCTCAATTCCTTCCATCTCATTCAGCAAATGAGGATTGGGTTAACACCAAGCTGAAACCAGGATTAACACAGACCTCAGCATCAGCAGTGGATTGCCCCACCTTTGTTTCTGTTGGTGTTAATATAGAAATACATTAAATGTTATTATGAACTAAAGCCTGCTACAGTCAGACCATATTCTGAAGAAAGTTACTACCTGGGAACACCTGCATTAGTGTTTATTGTTCTATTAGGAGATAACAAGACATTAATTCAAAATCCTCTCATGGATCTGAATGTCACATGTAATTTAAACTTTGAAAGTAAAAAAGTTTATTATTTCTGTCCTAAACTTTCTGTTCTCCATCTCAAGGTAAAAGAACAATGTTCTCTCAGTAATAAGGACTAAACAAAAATGCTAAGGAGATTGGAAGAAAGCCTTTATAACAAGTCATCTTAAAATAATTAAAATATTTCTGCAGATATTTACTCTTGCCACATTAAAGAGGCCTTCCTCACACACATCTGAAGTACAGTGGGCAAAAGCTGCTATCAAAAGTGCAAGGAGATGAAAGCTTGTTCTACCTGCTAGGATGTCAGGCTGAAAAAAAAATACTTTTAATAACTTTTAATAACAACAAATACATTGGTCAGGGTGAAAAAATGCTACTAAGAGAAGCATTAATTATTTGCTTTAGTCCCATTTAACTCAGCAGGAGTCACCCAGGGAATACACTTTATGAAATGCATTGTATTTTTCCTCAGTGAGGATGATCTGATAAACCCCAGCTAAGTGCCTGCCGTCATATGAGGATTTCACATTAGGTACCTAGAGAAGAGGATTTTTGATCTAAAACTGAAATCAATGTCTCAGCTGGTGCTATCAAACTACCCACTCTGCTCTCATCCACATCATCCCTCTGCCAGCACTGGGAAAAAAGCAAAGGGGCAGACCCAGAGCTGTGTTCTGGACAATTCAGCCTTTCCTCTGTGGGAATCAATAGCACAGCATCCCTGACAGGAATAAACCTCCAGAGTCTGCTAGTTTGCTCTGAACTCCAGAAATCCTTAAAACACACATACATACATTTAAAAAACCAAAGATGAACAAACAAAAAAAAAAAACACCAAGAAATTAGCTCTTGGCATTCCCAAGAGATTTACAATCTGTAAATGTGTAAATGGTGTGTAAATTTACATACCCCATGCTCCAACAGCAGGTAATGGGAGGAAAAAAGGGGGAAGCTCTTTTTCTACAAAGTTGTCCAATTCTGTAGAATTGGATAATTCTTCATTAAATTGAAAGCATCAAGTAAAAAATAAGGGTTTGGCTTCCCACTTAAGGTGTCTGAAAATGTGATTTGCTCCCAGTAAATACTCCTGAATTCAGTGAGGAAATGTCATGCAACAGAAAGAAAACTCTGGTGGTCATAAATGAATCCAATTCAGAAAACTTAGTTGTTGCTATGACTTTACATGTTCAGGCCAACTCTGAGAATGCTCTTTGAATTTTTCTATGGGCACAAATATGATTTAGGTAAGATATCCCTCCCTGAAGTATAACTCAGAAGCAGTATGGTGATTTGAACAGTGATAACCTTTAATCTTGCAATAGATTTAGTTTTGCTCTTAAAATGTAGTGCTTATTACTCAAAAGATGTTTAATACATACAAAGAACTAAAAATTTATAATATACTGCTTTTTTGCAAGTAGTATAAACCATTATTTTCGTCTGATAAAAGACTATCAGACACAGGCACTTGTAAGACACTTGATAAATACTTCAAACACTTTCTCCCTCTAGTGTTACCTCATTCATTGAAATAATCTAATGAGCTCTTTACCTCTTCAGCATCAGCCTTTTGATTGGTAAGACCTGTGCATCACTGCACCCCAGGTGCTTTGTCTGTGCACCTGCATCCACTGATATGTCCAAAATGGAGAGAGATGCATCTCACAGTCTCCAAGGCAGCTTTACAGCAGCTACCTTGACCTGCCTGAGCAATTTCCACCGGCATTCCCAGTGCAGGTGTTGTGCCCACCACTGTGTGCTCCCAGGCAGGAGCAGGGTGATCAGTGTCACATCCACCCCGTTTGGCACAGGAGCATTGCTAAAGGCAGTCACTGACACTGCCTGAAACCAAAAGGTTCTCGGCTTACCAGCTCTCTCTCTCTGGCAAAACCTATGCTAAGGTTCCCATTTATCAAAGTCTGCTGAATAGCAAAGGAGGAAAAACAGAGTTTTCCATGCAGCTGTTTAAAAAGAAAAAAAAAAATTAAAAAAAATAAAGTGAATTCATTATCAATAAATCCTGTCCAAGTCTCTTCCTACTTTTACTACACAAGGTAGTGATTACCATGGCTGAGAACAAGGCAGAGAGCCCGAGACTGTTTCTCCAGCACTGATTGACTGTCCTGTATCCATGACCAGATGTTAACAGCACATGGAGAAAACCACTGGAGCATGAGTCCTCAGGCCACAGGGCAGTTCTCCTTTTTTCCAGTACTCCCCTTTACTCAAATCAGAAGGGCTCACAAGTACCACAGATGATGTTCACACCACATCCTTCTGACCTTTTCCCCCCTATTTTTCTAGCTAGAACATTTCAGGGCTTGATTTGCTGTAGAGATTTGTAACTTGCACCTGTGTTCTTAAAATAAATATTTGTGTTTATCCCCTCTTTCATTTCTCAGCGTCTCTAATTGACATTCCTTGTAAATACTGAGCACTACATTAATTCTATGACTTTCTGTGTCTTCATGGAGCTCTAATGATCAGAAACATCCCATTCTCCTAATGCCTTGTTAACAGCACTTCTTGTTTCAACCACCCTTGTTCCATAAGTGGGACAGACCTATAACCATCAAATAATATATGTGAGCATGCAGATCCTTTTCTTCCTCTCAGCTTTTGCAATCTTTTCTGGTATCTGTAAAGCAGAAATGCAAAAATATTTCCCTAAATGCAGTTCTGCAGATACAGTGCTGTGATGCTGACTTTTCTTTGTTTACTCTTTCCAGTATTAACTGCTAGGTAAAGAAGTCAACCAAGAGAGTTATCCAGCTCTGTGTAAAATAAACACCCACACTCACCCACCTCTCTGCTCTACTTAAGTTACTCAGAGCTGGAGTAGCAAACACACAAGATTAATGTTTCTTGTAAACACAACATCTTGTTATGAAACAAATCCTGAGTTTAAATAGCTAAATCCCATGGAACTGTACAGTTAATTCACTAATTTATAAAGAGAATTATGGCACCATTGTTTTTAGAAGAAACATACTAGTGATCGGAGTAAATAAAAGCAGAATGTTCTTTCAGTAGATTTTTTTTTTCACCTGCTCTTGCATGTGGTATCAATCAAATAATGTATTCAAACTTCTGGTATGGTTGATAGACTATTTTTGTTTGTCTCTCTTCACAATTTAGCAAAAGAAGCTATAATTGTGATGTGGTTCAAAGCAAGATCATCTCTGATACTTAGATGTCATTTCTCAGCTGAAAAGTTTCAACTCATCCTTCTGGAGTTAGGAAGACTCATAAATCTGGAGTTAGGAAGAGGGTAGCAAAAGGCTCATTTCTGATGAATGCAACATTTTCTCTTGCAGTGTATATATTGCTGATGTTAACAGTATTATGGTTATATTTTTGTTCATTTAATGTACAATTTTAGTAACCTCTGGGACAGAAAATTTCTGCAGTATTTATATGGGCAACAGTAGGAATCCTTCCACCAGCTTCACCAAGTTATTTTCCATTTATCCATACTCATATAATCTATTGCACTTACCCAACAGTCCTTTATTACAAGTACACATTTTATTTCTGAAAGAACTACTGCAGCTTACCTGCTGTTGATCAACCTGCAGCTCATCTCAGTTTCCAAGAAGTTTCCCTGACTAGAAGCCTAACACTCAGGTATTTTATTACATTCAGAAGTATTTTTAGCAATAAACCACTTCAGTAGTTCTGAGAATTTCTCACCTGTGGCATTTCCTTCCTGAGAAAACTTTGGTGGCATCAGGAGATGGAAACACCTGTGGATCTGGGAAGCTCAGGAGAATCTCCCATTAGATTGCATCCATTGCTGACATGCAATTTGCAGTTAACATTCCTGAAGTAGCAATTATGCCTTGCCAGGCAGGGAACACAGCTGATTCCTCCTTCAGTGTCCACCTCTTCAGATGACACCTGCATGTGACCTAAAATTATTAAATGCATTGGAGGCAGCAAAACAAGTTTACTGATACTTTTCAAATAAAACTAAAATGATAAGATGTACAAACTTTAAAGAACAATGGATCATAAACTTCACTAGAAATTTTAGTCACTACTGATATGTTGGGGAAAAAAAAAAATAAACTGTGAGACAATTTCTTAGAGTAGCTTCAGCCTGGCCAGAAAAGAAGATTAGTGCATAAATATTACCACATGCACACTCTCTTTTACTTTACAAAAATTATTTCAGCCTTGGACTGAGTGCCCGTGGTGAGCACCAATCCCAGGGTGCCTGGGAAGCTCTAAGCCGACACAGAGGGAGCACAGGCAGATGAAGTCAAATCAGTGGATTATTTATGTATTTACACATGGTTGCATTAGAGCCTTAAAGGGCTTATGACCAACACCAGAGGTGTTACCATCCCATCAGCAAGGCAAGACATAAGCCCTGAAAGAAGGAAAAGCTTTGCATTTTCCTAAATGAGCAGAGAGGTGATTTTCCATGGATCACTGAGGGAAGCAATAATTGCCTTAAGGCTTATTGCAGTTTAGGCAGCCAGAGTTTCTCAGTTACTCATGGTGGATCATCAAGAGGCAGCATGCAAATGGGGCAGATGTTAAAAATTTCTACAGCATTTGACAGCAAAACAGTTGAAACACTTGGTTGCCAAGGTCTTTGGAGGAGATAGAAAATGGCAGGGCCACAGGAGGGACAGAAGTGTCCTTTAGCATAACCCACAGTCACTCATATGAATACCCCAAGAACAACAGCAAAGGTGGAGTGTGAACCATGGAGAACACAAAGGTAACAGGATCCATCTTCACAGTTTGTGTCAAAATCTATCAGCTCTTCCTCCATATACATTATACATGTATTTAAACCATTTCCAACAAAAAAAAAAAACAATACATGAAATGGCTGAAAAGAGTTTATGCTTTCTTTGCTGCCACTAATACTTGAAATCATGGATATACAAAAATGTCCCCCAAAACTGCTTTTTTTTTTTTGTGCTTCAAAAGAAAATAATACATCTGCCAGGCAGCAGTAAAACTTCATTTATAATAGTTGCAGGTGTAAAAAGGTTACTGCAGTCAAATAAATGGCTGAGACTTCAAGAATGCAACCTCATTTGGAGCTGCTATTTTTAATATGTCTGATGATCAAAGGAAAACAAGAATAAATATTTGCTTCCAGTTGGGTGCTTCATTCTCATACAGTGTCACTCAGCAGAGTACCCTGAGAGAAGCATCCTTTGATCTGGAAGTTTATGTAACTTCACTTTTCAGTCACTTGTCATGTGCCAGGGGAATTTCAAAATTACAGGAAATCTATTTTTCAGCATTGAGCACAGCAAAATGTTCAGGCACATCCAGACAGAAAATTACATGTATATTGAAAGGAGCTCAAATGTTTTCCAAAAAATTACCTCTTTCTATAGGGACAAGGTGAGGATAACATTTTCTTCACTCACAGTGGCAAAGATGAAGATACTGGAAAGGCACTTTTGACCAAATAGTAATTATGTGCTAAAATTGCATGCTAAAAATTTCAGGGTGCTGTCTTAGGAGTAGAATATCTGGGATGTCTTAGGAGTAGCTCATCTGGGATGAGCTAGAATCTGTGACACAAAGGATTCAGCGAAGAGCAAAATATAACAAAAAAAAAAATCACAGAATAAATTCTTTAATCAGATTTGCAACTTATTTAAAAACATCTCAGGACAAAAAAAAATTCTCTACAATTATTTCATTCTGTGGCATGAAGTGGCTCCTGAACACCCAATTTAATAGCAAATAAGATAAACTTACCCTTAACCAGTTTTTTTTCTGTGAAGAAAAAAAAAAGTTAATTTTTAAGGTCCTGAACACTGAGAGGCCAAACCTTAATACAAGGCTGGATTTGAACTTTTTTTTTTTTTTTTTTAGAACTACATTGTACCTATTGGCTCAGTACATTGAGTACACACAATCCTCCAGAACCTTCAACATCAGCTTTCTCCAATTTTTTAAAAACATGTGGAATTTATTACATCCTTTCCTATCTCTAAGGTAGCCACAGGAGGAGTATTTTTCTCTGTGAAAGGATTTGGGCAGATGCAGCATCTTGCTGAATACAGATCCTGCTAAGGCTGAACTTCTATTAAAATTGTCAGTGGAAGAGATATGGATTTTTATGACTAGGTTTACGAAAACAAAATGTCTGAAATATATAAAAACTGATAACATGCAGCATTTTCACCAATGAATTGATGTTTGTGGCAACTGACAGCACATTTCAAAGCAGCAGAAATGTTATTTGGCATAAAATACATGTGATTTACCAAGGGAAATGTTGTTTTCTTGGGAGAATGTCTAAAATAAGGCCTTTTCTCACGATCATGTTCATCATGCTCTGTTGGCAAAAAGCCAGTGAGGCCCCAAGGGTCACAGGTTACATTTTGGAGGACACATCAGACCAGGATCCATCCCCTGGTGCTACACACAGAGCCCACAGTGTTTCCCAAAGCCTTTGCCTCTGCCAACACATCCTTGCTGAAGGAACATTTTCAAAAGAAAACTTCATTTTCCAGTGAAACTTTTCAGATAACACCAGCTCCTGCTAAAAAGCTAATCTACCTCTGCTTCTACATGTAACATTTATGGTTTGCTAGATCCACAAAATTAAGTATCCGTATTACATTTGCTCTGTGGTTTTTTCTTAATGTGCTGTTGAAAATGAGTAAAATGTACACTTCAGAAACCCTGTGTCTCGCTGAGGCATCTCTAAAAAAGCCCAGCTTAGAGATAACAAAAGAGCCTTGGAATCATCTGATGGTCTCTATTTTGTGGGTTTAATTTAATTTTTTTTGCTGGAGTCGAAAGAATTCTGTCTGCAGAGCACTTGGAGCTGCAACAGTGACTGCGTTAACATCAAATTCAAACAAATCCCACGTGTACTGTTTCATCCTATGGAAATGGTCATGACTTACAGGAACAAGCATAATTATATATTTATTTTGGGTATCATTAAAGCCAGGAAGATTGTTCTGTAAGACAGATTTAGATATAAGAGCAAGCCAGAGGGAACTGAATCTATAGAGAAGCTTTGCTGGAGGATCACTGTAAATTAAATCTGTTTCAGATGCATTCAAAATAGGCTGGTAAGCAATTCTCCTAGGCAGCTGCCAAGGCTTTGTATGGCTTTTGAATGATTACAGATTCCTAAAAAAACACAGAATATCTGTAAAATAAAAATCCCACTATCAACTCTGGATGATGGCTTTATAGGCTTAGTGGTTATCCTACTCTTAATTATAAATAAAACCCCCTTTCTTTTTTTAGTAGAGCTCAGCTTCTGTATATTACCCACATTACTGGAAGATGCAGTTTTGTCTAATTTGTGTCTTATGCTGAAAGAAAAACAGCAATTTTAGCTTCTAGTAAATTGTCCTGAAGGTTTTCACTGCTGCCTGGCAGACTCAGATATAAAGTATAGCAGAAATTGAATTTAATTCCAATAATGGAATTCCAATTTTATACTGTGATGAGATTAAGAAAGCCAGGTAACATTACAGGATAAATTATGGGTATGTAAAACTGCAGCATGCAAAACATTAGGCCACTATTTTATTACTCAATTACATATTAATATGGAATTAAAAGACATCATGGTGCGATTTTATTGCTAACCACATCTGTTTGCATTTTTTTTATAACCAACCACTGAGTCCTTTTATAAGAAATTTCCTTCTTAAAGCCTGATTACCATGCCAAGAGGAAATCTTAAAATTCAACAATCAAAAAGGCTAATCAAAAATGTTTAATAAAGGCCTTCTACTGGAAAATGGTGTTCATTCAAAGGGTTTCTTAGGATAATTTCAAACTTTAAATGAAAAGCCTAAACCACTATGAATTAAAAGGGGGATGAGAGTGGGAAGAAAGAGAGAAATACTATAACATCTGCCCATAAATACAGGTTCTAATGTGGTTCAGCAGTTTCTAGTGCAGACTTTGGTGCTGCTTTTTCTGTCCTGGTACTTGGGCCAGATCCCAGACTTGGCTGCCCATCTCCTACACATCTTCAGGGTGATTCAGCTCAAGAACATAGCTCACCCAGCCCAGTCCCACAGAAAGTGTTTACAACTCCCCTCCAGTACAATTCCTAAGTGCCACAGATTTCTTCATCTACTTTTTCCCATTTTCAGCCAAAGAACAGGGAAGATGGGAGCAGGTGGATTTGTTCCAGTTAGTATGGACAGGGCACATGTGGAAAAACTCCCAGTCATGTCTAACTCATGCTGGTTGAGTCTGCATTAGGGTATTCTGTTTGGTTCAAAGCAGCAAGGAGGTTCTCAAGTGAATCCCCCTTATTTTGGTCTGCAGCACAGTGTTGGCATGTATGAAATAAATCTCCTCTGGAGGAAACTACAACAGAAGCTCTTCCCCAGGTGTTCACCAAAAGCAGTACAAATCCCACTCCCAAATGGGGTGTGGGGTTACAAACCAAGGGCTGCTCCTTGGAACACCTTCAAATTACTGATCAAGTGGGAAAACTCACTCCAGAGCAACAGGTTAAGTTTGGTTTGAAATAAAATCTATCATAATATGAGGCTAAAGGGGGTACTCAGCATCAGCTCCTCTGAAGGGACTTTCCTAACACAAACACAGCCAATTCTGTCAAATTCATGCAATTAATTTCCAGGCCAACGTGCAGCATCACAGGTGTGTGCAGAGCTATGGCTCTTTTGACTCAGGGAGCCAAAGCTCCCTGGTGCTCAAATAAATTTAAGTATCTCCATCTAGTGCTTTTATTGGGTGTTCAGACTGGTGCATACACACTGGAATAGATGCTGCCCAGAGCTCTGTGGCAATCAGCCTGTCCTCTTTTTGTCAGTGCTAAGCATCAACCTGGGTACGAGACAAAATCCCGGCACAAAAGCAAAACAATCTGCTTTCTCATTTTAAAGGATAAGAACAGCATCACTGCAGCCTCA